GCCCAAAACAGCTAGTGAGAAGATGAAGAAGGGAGTGATTTGCTTATGGCAAAGCTCCCAACCCTGGATTTCAACCTCACCAAAGGAGTAAAATTAACAGGTGTGCATGCATACTTAAACATATACCCTGAGAAAGTAGATGATGTCAAAACTAGAACTGTGGGAATAGTTACTTAAAAAAAAAACACCTAAGTGACAGGCTGGGCTGTTACAGGACAGACTGAAAGATAAAGCAATGGAGTGGGCACTCTATTCAGGGAATAAATCTGAGCTGGGCAAAGAAGGTAGGTGTTAGCATCTATGCCCAGAGTTCCTTGTGGAACTTTATAAAAGATAAGTTTTGTATTTCTCTCTACCCCAACTTACCATCAAATAAGTTCTATAAAACTCATAAGGGTTGAACCGTTCAGGAATGTCAGAAATACGCTTCAAGATTAAGATGATGCCATTTTGGTAGTCTTCTTAGTAACTGGGACCTGAGCAGTGATGACCAGTTAACTACAGTTATGGACTTTATCATCAGGGATCATATCAGAACTTTCACACAGCACAAAACACAACAGGAAACTTGAAGACCTTAGGAATGTCGCACACCTAGGAAACTTAACAAAGGCTCTAAGAAACAAAACACCTGAGCCTGAACGTGTGGATCCCCAGGTAAGGTTCAATTATAGCATAGTACATAGGTGACCCAAGATTCACCAGCACATCATTCTTTATTTTTCTAGGCACAAATAGAATCAAATTGACTCTCACTACCAGAAGCCCTGAAAAATAGCCATGAGGGCCAAGGAACTCTATATATTTTAAAGTTAAACAGGTAGGACTTCTCTCTAGCCTGTGAGCCACCCTAGTAACCTTACCCTAACCCTGCAAAAGCAAGCAAGCAGGGCAGCCTAAATGGAGCCCTTTCGGCTGCAGGAGGGATGGCAAAACCAGAAGAGGGTACACCCCACCCCTCTCACCTCAAGCTTTAAAAGGCTGAGTACCGCGCCCGATCGGCATACTGCTCCCGCTCATACCGGGCCATGTCGTACAGAGAATTCCGCGCGGCTGCTGAAGCTTGGGACAACTCACTCTCATGCCCGTAACCGTAGCCCTCTCCAACAGTGGGGACTGGGGCTGTAGCGCGACGCAGGGGGCTCCGATCCCGCCCGTAATATGAAGTGGAAGCTGCAGTAACAGCAGCAGCGGCTGCTGCTGCAGCAGCAGCTGTGGCAGCAGCTCCTGAGGTCGGCAACAGGTGTCTATCGTAGGGATCGAGAGAGGTGGAGGTGAGGTGACTGGCCATGGCTGTATTCTGGACTTGTGGCAGCTGGGACAGGGTCTGCTCTGCGTAATTATACACGGAGGCAGCTGCAGCCGCCACTGCCTCATAGGACCGGGCAGCACGGCAGCGCTTGTAGTAGGCATCGAGCGCTCCGTACGCGTTGTTGTAATACAATGAATCCCCATAGCTCATGGTGTAAGGCGTACGCACTGCTCCATATTGCTCATTATATTGCTCGGTCAAGTCTGCCACGCGGCCTGAACGATCTATCGGACACTCTTTGGACCAGTGCCCCTCTTTCCCGCACCGATAGCAGCCGCTCTGGTCTCCCATCCCGGGCGCAGTCCTAAGCCGGCTGGTGGACAACTGCACGTGCATTCGTTTGCCTTGAAGAAACAGACGCAAGAAGGGTTGCTATCACTCTTACTCATAGCCCCAGCCCCTACCCCAGACACTGGTCATAGCAATGGCTTTATCTAGGCAATTCTAATGCAGGACTCATCTTTACCAAAAGATAAAAAGGAAAAAAAAAACCTCAACTTATAGATTCAGTATAATGACCTGATTTCAGGCAAAGATCAATTAGGTGACAAAATATTCCAGCTATAACAATAGTTTAAATGCTTAAGAAATAAACTACTCTTCCTCAAAACAATCTCATCCTTTGCCAAGTAACTGCAGGTAAAAATCATCTCCAAACAGCGGCTCAAAGTCAAAAGAAGTCAAAGTAAGAAAGAGTGCCCAATTTTTTTCTGACACCTCCAATCCTTACCAGCAAGATGGATTTTCATTAAGCAAGGGAATGTAAGTAAAGGCCAGCTCTCCACCCTCCTCAAAAACTTTAAAAGAATGGAATAAAAGACTCCAATGATTACCACTATTAAAGAATAATCTAGACTCAATCCACAGCTGAATGTGACAAGCAAATCTCAAAGTACATCTCTGGAAAAACCCTCATGAACTGGGGAGACTGAGGGGCACAAGTTGAAGGACAGCCTTCTCCCTTAACTGGGCCCTTTAAACTGCTGGTTCTGATCATTGCTTTAACATGGATTCTTTACAATCTGATAGTTAATTTTAGTGACCCTCTACTAGGGTCAAAGGCAAACAGGGCAAAAACAGGACAGACTGTTCTCAAATGCCTGAAATTTTAGAATACTGTAAAAACCATGGAAGAAAAGGTGGCTGAGGAAAGTGGAGAATAACTACTTATACTACTTATACTAGTCAGTGGACCAAACTGCTCAGTTTAAGCAGAATTAAAGTACTTCTCCTGAAACTACCTATCTGAGAGCCTAACTAAGAACATACGCCTAATATTTTTCCTGAAAATTAAAATTTGCATTCTGGAAATGAAAAGTATTACTTCTGAAAATGTAATAAAAGCAGAATCTTTTCTAGAAAAGTTAAAACTAAGTTTTAGTAAGTCTCTACAGAAGCTATTTCTACCTAACATGATCTATCAGCTTACTGGTAAGCAAACTTCCGAAGACATCCAAATCCTGCAAAAACTTCCCAATGCAATTGGTTATGACGCACCTAAATATATACCTGTCAAAGGAGTAAATGGTCAAAAGCAAGGGAGAGTCAACAGATGGATCCTCTAACGTTAGAGAAAATAGTAAACACACAATTTTACCTGCAAAATTAATGTTAGATTCTGGGAGACCAGAAAACACAATAGGGAAATGGGGATGGAAGGAACAAAATATCAAGGTCTACACAGCTGGGAAGTTTAGGTTGCAGGTTACTAAGAGAGCAGATATGCAATTATGCACTTAAGTGCCTTAAAGTGCTAGCCTGTCTCTGGCATTTGCCCAGTGGGTCATTTGGCACCTAATAAAACCAGAGAAAACAAGTGCAACTAAGGAACCAACTGTGCACATTCCAGACAAAAAGATCATTAATAAATACCTTGATCTAAGCATCTCTTGGTTCTAATGCCAGAAAAAGAAGTTAATTTTTTAAGAATATCTAAAAGAGATTTTAAGTGGGCATGCAATAGAGAAGATACCCAACACTAAGAAACGGAAAGGAAAAAAGACCACCCTAATACCACTCATCAATATACATCTATAACTCTAACAGAATAGTATTAAGAAATAAAAAACGCCAATATTAAATAAGATAAAAATAACTAAGCAAAGGTTAGTGTAAGGGGACCTAGGGTTCAGACACCCAGAGTTTTTTATAAGGATAATTTGTACTGAATCAAGACCACACTGTCCTCTCCTTAAACCTAATTGCTACAAGCAGACACCACCTCTTCTGACTGGGCTACAGTGTGGCAAATAGTCCAAAAATTAGGTATCACACCGCGAACCCTCCACAAGAGCAGCCTTTGCTCTCAATTAAGTTGTTGACAAAATAATTCTCAACATGCAAATTGAAAAAAAGAAAGCAAACTAGACCTGAGAGACCTGCGTCACTTTTCTTTACTAATGCACAGCAATGCCCACGACACAGGGTACCCATTACTAGCGGAAATAATGATGAGACTTTCAGCTCTAAAAAAGCCCAATTTAAGGGAAATGGACACCAAAGGCAGCAGTAATGACTCTTAACGAGGGGAGTACTCAGAAACAGAATCGACCACTACACTGTCAGAACACAGGTTTAGAATATATAGCAAGGAGTCACGGGAATACTCCATAATTTGGATAAAGCTTTTTTAATTTTTTAAATTTTTGTTCAGTCCTGCTTAATTAAGCTAAAAAAGGACACCGCTCTTTTTGATACTGGGAAACCAAAGGAGGTGAAAGAAGAGTTCAGATAGCAACTCACCATGATTACCACCCCTGAACTGCCACTGTTGCTTCAGACCTCAGATTTTGGAATATTTGCATGATACGTACCAGTTGAGCATCCCAAATCTGAAAATTCAAAATCCAAAATGCTCTAACAAGCATTTCCTTTGAGCAACATGTAGGTATTCAAAATGTTGGGGATTTGAGATGCTTCCAAATGAAGTGACAATCCACATCATCACCCATGCTGCCCTCCAGGCACAAAAAATTCATTTGATTAAGACTCCTAAGATAACACAAATCTAAGTGCTCTATTCACCAAAATTTTATAACGTCCAGCCCCCCAAACCAATGAAAAGACAGTCATTACTGCCCCTAAAACCCCAGTGCTTCCTCCCCAAGTAGTCCTAAAATCAGCCTTCTAATTCTAGAGTGGCCTTATACTCAAAACACAACCCCTTGGTACAGGTATAATAATAATAAAAAAGAGCTGTAACTCTTTTAAGAGTTTGTGTAAGGTAGGACAACTTAACAAGGATTCTGCTCCTATAAAAGTGTTGCTTGACATGTTTTTGCGAGGTTCTTCATGTAAAATGCATAATTCTGATCCTATGCTGAGGGCAGTAAATTCAGAGTGAGGAACTCTGAACTGTGCTCTACTACCAAAAAAAGCAAAAACAAAAAACAAAAAAACCCAGTAACTCAGAAAGCCTTCAGAAAAAAGGATTTCTGCACTGATGAGCACAAAAACCTTAGGGGCTCCAAATAAAAGCTGAGTGGTTTTTCTCCAGGAGACAGCTGCCTAAGGTAAAGCCTCTAAGTCCCATGTATTCTACATCTTAAGAAGTCCATCACCCATACTTAATTCTTCACCACCAGCCAGCCAACAGCTGTTATCTTTACCAAACCTCTCCTTTTACGCATCCAACCACTTTCTGCACATAGCCTTGTGTTCAGCCCTCTACCCAAAGAGGGTGGTTCACCTTGAAACTCTGTGTTATCAAGGCCCCTGATGGCCTCCACTGCATCCTCTGCCCGCTCCATGTGTACAAAGGCATAATCTTTCACGATGTCACATTCGATGACCGGACCATACTCCTCAAACTTGGCTCGAAGCTCCTTATTGGTGCAAGTGGGACTGATGTTGCCCACATGCAACTTTGTTGAGGTTTTGCTCTTATTCTTGCTGGCTTCCACGTTGATGTTCACCCCATGAAGCTTGTAATGGTGCAGGTTGCGTATGGCATCTTCAGCTGCAGTTTTATCTTCTATGTGCACAAAGCCGTAATTCTTAATGATGTCACATTCCAGCACCTTCCCATACTGCTCGAAGAGTGAGCGAATCTCCTGCTCTGTAGCCTCCCGGGGCAGGTTTCCGATGAACAGCTTCACCATCCTGACAAGAGCCTGGGAGAGAAAAACGAGATTTCTGACAAAAGACCTTAGGCCCACATCAGTTCATAAAAAACAACGACTTTCACTCTGATGTATATTTCCAGTTTTCTCTCACCCGCCCGCACACACACCTCCACACAATACAATCAAAGGGAAGTGGGAGTGAACTAAGGCCTGCTATAGTAGCCGCCATGAACCTGTAAGAATGAGAAGACGTCTGCAATAGGGAGGTCCTTAGTAGACAAAGGATTTAGTAAGAACTGATACTTTCCAACACAAATGTGCATGAAAAACAGCATATGGAGAGATGGGGGTACTGGGCTTTTCTATCCATTAGGAAAGCAAGAGAAAACCAAAGTCTACTAGGCTTGCTGCCTGCCTGAAATTATCAACAGGCTTTTCCTCAAGTAGTAACCAAAGCAGCCATCATTTCCGGGGAAATAGGCCTTGCAATAGCTACATTTGTTTCCTTTGGAAGTAGTGAACGCGCGACTCGGATCAGACAGCGAGGAGTGGAGGATAAAGGAAGTACTGGACTGGGGAACGCCTCTCTCAGGGCACCGTCCGAGCTCCTGCGGAACACTGAAATGCGTGGCCGTGGAGGAGAGCTTCAGATTCATTAACCAGACGATGTCTCATAGCCCGAGAAATTCTCGAAACAGGGACGTAATTGCCAGGTATAAGGGAAAGGGGGTTTTCCCAGTGGAAATCTCGAGGCTTCCAAGAGGAGCCACGTCGGGCGCGGGGCAGGGTGGGGGAAAAAAAAAAAAGCAAGGTATTCTCAGGGGGCGGTGGGGGAAGGGCTGCTCCCGGCTTACCGCGCAATGCCGAGGACCGAGATCGGCTCTCAGTGACGGGTGTGGAGGCTGCGACCCCACCAGGACACCCCGAAGCCCAAGGGAGTGGGAGAAGATTTAACAGAGTACAAGAAAGGCAATGGAAGGGCTCGCAGTCTCACCCGCACGGAAACCAGCAGGGCCTCCTCCTCGCGGCACGGACGCTTCTGACAAAACGCTAAAATGGCGGCGGCCGCAGCAGTGGCTCTGGATAGAGGGGGGAGGTGAGCCTACAACCGGATTGGCCACTCAATAAAGTAAAAGGCCGGCGGTCCCGCAGATCCTCTTCCTGATTGGTTACCACGGACGCCAATTACCTGAGAGGCCGGCAAGAGGTGGAAACGTCTGTAACCTCGGAGCTTTTATGCGAAAGCCAATGGGCACCAACCTCGCGAAGCCGAACTCATTGATTGGGGAAGAGATCAGCGTGAGGGCGGACCTACAAACGTGGGCTTCGCCGGCGGGGTGCGGCCCGCCATTAGGCGGAGCGAGCTAGAGCCCCGGGGTAGCAGTCTTTAGCTTCATGGCGCCAACTTCGTTAAGCTTCCACATTTCGCCACCTCCACGTGCACAGCCAGACACTATTCCGCGCTCCATTCTGCCGTTCACTCTAGTTGTCTCCCTCTAACCTCCCAAGCACCACCCCCCTTGCGGCCAGGACGCTGTGGAAATAGCTTATGCAGGCACATGCCAGGTAAGAAAAACACCCCCCTCCCGCCCACCACCACCACCACCACCACCTCAGGAAACCAACCTTCTCCTTGGGCCAGTAGTCCACACTGTAGCCTTGAGAGTCCCGGAGCTCCCCCAAAATCAAACCTCTCACAGGTGGTGAAAGGACCTCTGTAATGGCCCAGAAGTAGGCCCGGCAGAAGGCTGCACTGTCCAGGAGACGCTGAGGACAAGTTCCCTCTGGGAACCAGCCTCCCAGGGTCCGCGATGAAGAGTCCTTTCTGTGACCATGGAGATTGAAAGTATACCCCGACCCCACCCTGAGAAAAAACTGGAGCAGCAAAGGTTTTTTTGTTTTATTTTATTGGGCGCCATCAGCCAGGGCTGTTTTAATCCCTTAGAACCGACTTTAGAGGGAAGAGCTTAGTCACAACCAGCTGTAAAGAAAATACAAAGTAACATTCTCCAGAGGGTCCAGCTGCTGCCTTGTTTTCTCTCATCCTTAGGCTGCTTCACATAATCCCATATTCATTAAGCAAGTAACTTTAGTCAAGACCCTCTGCAAAGCAGCTTTTGAAAAGGGTTAAAAGGTGGAGTGCAGGGACTGGATGGAAGAACTTAAAACACGAACAAAACAGGCTAAAAGCAGTGCAGTTTATGAGGAAAGTGATCATCAGGAATGAAGATGACACAAGTACCACACACCACCATCCAAAGCAGCTTCTTCACCACCACCCATGCCCCAAAGAGAAAGGTTTCATGAAGAGAAAAGTGAAGTCAGAGTTTGGGGGGAAAAAAAGAGTGGGTTTTAAAACCCAACACGAGGGCCACGTGCGGTGGCTCACGCCTGTAATCCCAACACTTTGGGAGGCCGAGGCAGGCGGATCCCCTGAGGTCAGGAGTTCAAGACAAGCCTAGCCAACATGGTGAAACCCGTCTCTACTAAAAATACAAAAATTAGCCAAATGTGGTGGCAGGTGCCTGTAATCCCAGCTACTCAGGAGGCTGAGGCAGGAGAATCGCTTGAGCCCGGGAGGCAGAGGTTGCAGTGAGGCAAGATTGTGCCACTACACTCCGGCCTGGCGACAAGAGTGAAACTTAAAAAAACCCAACATGATTCAGGAATCTGACTGTAGAAAACTGGTCAACAATTTATCCTAAGGTAAAAAAGGTAAGGAACTAAAAAAAGAAAACAACATTTACAGATATATTGGTCACTAATCTTGTCCACTTCATTGCGGATGCTGATGCACCTCTGGGCCTGTGTAAAGGCCACAGCATCAGTGATGAAGAAAATCAATTTTGTGTCAGCTGCCACGTGCCCTTCAGAGGTGGCCAGCATCAAAAGGTAACGCGTATGGTACAGAAATCCTCATCTCCTTCAGTTAGATCTCTTGTCTCAACATCTCGGGGGATAAGACTTTCTTCCAAAATACCAAAGTATATCAATGATCAACTCATTGTAACTAATAATCTCTCCAGATTGGAAGGAGACTGGGAACATAAATCTTCTCAGAATCACAGTTCAAGCCCACTGTGCAGACATCAAAACTACTAACCACCTCCACATGCAGCCCAAAACCTAATTACTTGATTTGACTTCCGAAACCCAACTAGGTCTAGTTAGCTATATAACACTTTACAAGCTCATCCTAAATGAACCACATTAAATAATCTCCCTGCCTTTTTTTGAGACAGTTCTTGCAAGGTCACCCAGACTGCAGTACAGTGGCACTATCCATAGGTCATTGCAGCCTGGAACTCCTCAGCCTCCCAAGTAGCTAGGACTACAAGTGCGTGCCACCAGGCCTCGCTGTTTTTTTAATTTACTGTAGAGACAAAAGTCTTTGTTGCCCAGGCTGGTCTGAAATGCCTGCACTCAAAAGCAATCCTCTCTGCCGGGCACAGTAGCTCACACCTGTAATCCCAGCACTTTGGGATGCCGAGGTGGGCAGATCACCTGAGGTGAGGAGTTCGAACCCAGCCTGGCCAACCTGGTGAAACTGCGTCTCTACTAAAAACACAAAAAAATTAACCAGGCATGGTGGCACACACCTGTAATCCCAGCTACCGGGGAGGCTGAGGCAGAAGAATTGCTTGAACCCTGGGGGGTGGGGGGGGAGGTTGCAGTGAGCTGAGATCACGCCACTGCACTCCAGCCTGGGTGACAGAGTGAGACTCCATCTCAGAAACAAACAAAACCCACAAAACTATGGCAATTATAACATTTAATAAGCAAGGATGATAAGAATAGTATTTAGGGTGGTTTAATTTAGAAAGTAGGCTGGATAATAGCCAATAAATTTCCTTTTTTTTTTTTTTTGAGGCGGAGTCTTGCTCTGTCGTCCAGGCTGGAGTGCAGTGGCCAGATCTCGGCTCACTGCAAGCTCCGCCTCCCGGGTTTACGCCATTCTCCTGCCTCAGCCTCCCAAGTAGCTGGGACTACAGGCGCCTGCCACCGCGCCCGGCTAGTTTTTTGTATTTTTTAGTAGAGACGGGGTTTCACTGTGTTAGCCAGGATGGTCTCGATCTCCTGACCTCGTGATCCGCCCGTCTCGGCCTCCCAAAGTGCTGGGATTACAGGCTTGAGCCACCGCGCCCGGCTTTTTTTTTTTTTTTTTTAAGAGACCAGGTCATGCTGTCACCCAGGCTGGAGTGCGGTGTCACAATAACAGGTCACTGCAGCCTGGATCTCCCGGGCTCAAGTGTTCCTCCTATCTCTGCCTCCCAAGTAGCTGGGATTACAGGTGTGTGCCACCACACATGGTCAATTTTTTTTTTTTTTTTTTTAATTTTTGGGGGATGAGGTCTCTGTGTTGCTCAGGCTGGTCTCAGTAAACTCCTGGGCCCAAAAATAATCCTCCCACCTCAGCCTCTCAAAAGTGTTGAGATTACATGCCCAGCCTTGGCTTTGATTTTTTTTGAAGATGGGAGTCTCACTCTGCCACCAAGGGTGGAGTGCAGTGGTGCAGTCTCAGCTCACTGCAATCTCTGCCTCCCAGGTTCAAGTGATTCTCCTGCCTCGGCCTCCCAAGTAGCTGGAATTACAGGCGCATACCACCATGGCTGGCTAATTTTTGTATTTTTAGTAGAGACGGGGTTTCACCATGTTGGTCAGGCTGGTCTCCTGACCTCGTGATCCACCCGCCCTGGCCTCCCAAAGTGTTGAGATTGCAGGCGTGGGTCACCATGTCTGGCCTAGTTTTTTGCTTTTTTTTTTTTTTTTTTTTTTAAAAGGCAATTGAAACAAAATTCAAACTCCTCTCCTTGCACTGTAAGACCTTACCCCAATCTGGTTCTTGCCGGAATTTCCCAATGTTTCTAACCACCACGGCCCTTGACCACCAACTGTGCTCCCTTCAGACATACTGGCCTTATCCCAAGCTCATTTAGACTGGAATATTATTTCTTCAGGTTCTTCACTGGCCACCGATCTAACATCATCACTCACTCCAACCTTACTTTGGAACTCTATCCTATGACTCCATGTTGTCTTTCTGAATACTTACTACCACTTGAAATCCTATACTTATTCTAAAAAGGCATATTATTAATTCTATATTATATCCCCAGTGTTAGAACTGTACTTGGCACATGGTAACACCCTCAAATATTTGTTGACTAAGTTAACAAGTAAATGAATGAATGTATGAGTTAACTTCTTGATAGCCCAAAGGAGGGAAATGACTTCGGATTTTCAGTCAATATCAGGTTAAAAACCTGAACACTTAGTACTGAAAACACGCACCTTTACTCATCACCTAGTACACGTTCCAGTCTTCCCCAAACAGAAAAGCAGGTACCAAACAGCCAGAGGTAATCCAAGCTAACGGATTTTGATCACCACTTTGACAACTGGAACACAATGAAGCTTCAGGTAGAGAAGTTTGTAGTTCAAGTGTCTTCATACTGATACACACCTACCTGTATTTTACTGAGTACTAAGGAACTTAATGCCCCTTAAAAAAAATAAAAGATTTTCAACTAAAAGGCCAATTAGTCCGGGCACAGTGGCTCACGCCTATAATCCCATCACTTTGGGAGGCCAAGGTGGGCAGATCACCTGAGGTTGGGAGTTCAAGACCAGCCTGACCAACATGGAGAAACCCGTCTCTACTTAAAAAAAAAAAAAAAAAAAGACTTAGCCGGGCGTGGTGGCGCATGCCTATAATCCCAGCTACTAGGGAGTCTGAGGCTGAAGAATCACTTGAACCCAGGAGGAATAAGTTGTGGTGAGCCAAGATCGCGCCACTACGCTGCTCCAGCCTGGGCAACAAGAGCGAAACTCCATCTCAAAAAAAAAAAAAAAAAACACATAAAGGCCAATTAAAGAGATCTCATCCAAATCCTCTGCCTTACCACCTGAACTACAGAGAATGACATCAAAAGAGATGTTTTATCTATCTATCTGAGGAGTTTTGCACATCTATCTAATCTATCTATCCTATCTATCTATCTATCTATCTATCTATCTATCTATCTATCTATCTATCTATCTAGGAGTTTTGCACTTGTTGCCCAGGCTGGAGTGCAATGGCACAATCTCAGCTCACAGAAAACCTCCACCTCCGGGGTTCAAGGGATTCTCCTGCCTCAGCCTACCAGGTAGCTGAAATTACAGGCATGTGCCACCACGCCCAGCTAATTTTGCATTTTTAGTAGAGACAGGGTTTCACTATGTTGGCCAGGCTGGTCTCAAACTCCTGACCTCTGGTGATCCACCCGCCTCAGCCTCCCAAAGTGCTGGAATTACAGGTGTGAGCCACCATACCTGGCAAAAGGGATGTTTTAAAACCACCTTGGTCGGGCAGTGTCTCATGCCTGTAATCCCAGCACTTTGGGAGGTCAAGGTGGGTGGACTGCTTGAGTCCAGGAGTTCGAGGCCAGCCCGGGCAACATGGAGAAACCCTGTCTCTACTAAAAATACAAAAAAATTAGCTGGGTGTGGTGGTGCGCACCTATAGTTCCAGCCACTTGGGAGGCTGAC